GGAAAAGAGACAAATGGGCCAATTTAATCCCTTGGGTACCACTGGGAGCTCGATATCACTGGAAACGAGACAAATTATCTGATTTAACCCCTTGGGTGCCACTGGGAGCTCATTATCACTGGAAGAGAGACAAATTATCAAATTTAACCCCTTGGTTGCTGCTGGGCACTCGTTATTGCTGGAAATGAGACAAATTATACCAATTTAACCCCTTTGCTGCCATTACATGCTCGTTATTGATGGAAATGAGACAAATTATCTGATTTAACCCCTTGGGTGCCGCCATGCGCTCGTTATCACTGGAAATGAGACAAATCACGCTGATTTAACCCCTTGGGAGCTGCTACACCCTCATTATTGCTGGGAAAGAGACAAATCGTCCAATTTAACCCCTTGGGTGCCACTACACTCTCGTTATTACTGGAAAAGAGACAAATTATCAAATTTAACCCCCTGGGTGCCTCTGGGAGCTCATTACCACTGGAAATGAGACAAATTATCTGATTTAACCTCTTGGCTGCCACTACACCCTCATTATTGCTGGAAAAAAGAGAAATCACACTGATTTAACCTCTTGGGTGCCACTGGGCACTCGTTATTGCTGGAAATGAGACAAATTGTGACAGTTTAACCCCTCAGCTGCCACTGGGAGCTCGATATTGATGGAAATGGGACAAATGGTCTGATTTAACCCCTTGGCTGCTGGGCGCTCATTATTCCTGGAAATGAGGAAAATCACATCAATTTAACCCCTGGGGTGCCATTACACCCTTGTTATTGCAGGAAATGAGACAAATTGTGCCAAATTTAACCCTTTGGCTGCTGTTACACCCTCGTTATTGCTGGAAAAGGGATAAATCATGCCAGTTTAACCCCTTGGGTGCTGCTATACACTTATTATTGCAGGAAAAGAGAAAAACCGCGCCGATTTAACCCTTTAGCTGCTGCGGAGAACTTGTTATCACTGGAAATGAGACAAATCATCTGATTTAACCCTTTGGGTGCCGCTACACTCTCATTATCACTGGAAATGAGACAAATCGCACCGATTAAACCTGTTGGGTGCTGCTACACCCTCGTTAATGCTGGAAGAGAGAAAAATTATCTGATTTAACCCCTTGGGTGCCGGTGGGCACTCGTTATCGCTGGGAAAGAGACAAATCGTGACAGTTTAACCCCTTGGGTGTCGCTGGGAGCTTGATATCCCTGGAAATGAGAAAAATTGTCCAATTTAGTCCCTGGGATCCTGCTACACCCTCGTTATTGCAGGAAAAGAGACAAATTGTGCCAATTTAACCCCTTGGGTGCCGCTGGGAGCTCGATATCACTGGAAAAGAGACAAATCGTGCTGATTTAACCCCCTGGCTGCCACTATGCGCTCGATATCACTGGAAAAGACACAAATCGTCAAATTTAAGCCCTTGGCTGCCACTGGGCACTCACTATTGCAGGAAACGAGACAAATTGCATCAATTTAACCTTTTGGGTGCTTCTACACCCTCGTTATCACTGGAAATGAGATAAATTGTGCCAGTTTAACCCCTTGAGTGCCGTTACACCCTCGTTATTCCTGGAAAAGAGACAAATTGCATCAATTTAACCCCTTGGCTGCTGGGAGCTCACTATTCCTGGAAATGAGGAAAATCACATCAATTTAACCCCTGGGGTGCCACTACACCCTCGTTATCACTGGAAATGAGACAAATTGTCAAATTTAACCCCCTTGGCTGCCGCTGGGCACTCATTATTGCTGGAAATGAGACAAATTGTCAAATTTAACCCCTCGGGTTCCACTACACCCTTATTATTACTGGGAAAGAGACAAAATGCGCTGATTTAACCCCTTGGCTGCTGGGAGCTCCATTATTCCTCGAAATGAGGAAAATCACATCAATTTAACCCCTGGGGTGCCATTACACCCTCGTTATCACTGGAAATGAGACAAATCGTGACAGTTTTACCCCTTGGGTGCCACTGGGCACTCGTTATCACTGGAAATGAGATAAATTATCCAATTTAACCCCTTGGCTGCCACTACACTTCATTATTGCTGGAAACGAGACAAATTGTCCAATTTAACCCCTTGGGTGCCATTACACCCCTGCTATCACTGGAAACGAGACAAACCGTGCTGATTTAACCCCTTGGCTGCCACTATATGCTCATTATTGTTGGAAATGAGACAAATCACGCTGATTTGACCCCTTGGTTGCCGCTGGGCACTCGTTATTGCTGGAAATGAGACAAATCGAGCCGATTTAACCCTTTAGCTGCTGTTGAGAACTTGTTATCGCTGGAAAAGAGACAAATTGTCAAATTTAACCCCTTGGGTGCCGCTACGCACCCGTTATTACTGGAAATGAGAAAAATCATGGCAGTTTAACCCCTTGGATGCCGCTACACCTTTGTTATTGCTGGAAATGAGACAAATGGGACAACTGAACCCCTTGAGTGCTGCTACGCCCTCGTTATCACTGGGAAAGAAATGAATCACGTCAATTTATCTCCTTGGCTGCCATTATATACTCGTTATTGACGGAAATGAGACAAATTGCAGCAATTTAACCCCTTGGGTGCCACTGGGAGCTCGATATCACTGGAAAAGACACAAATTGTCTGATTTAACCCCTTGGGTGCTGCCATGCACTCGTTATCATTGGAAATGAGACAAATCACGCTGATTTAACCCCTCGAGTGCCGCTAAACCCTTTTTATCACTGGAAAAGAGACAAATCATCAAATTTAACCCCTTGGCTGCCACCACACCTTCATTATCACTGGAAAAGAGATAAATCGTCTGATTTAATCCCTTGGGTGCCACTGGGAGCTCATTATTGCTGGAAACGAAACAAATCACGCTGATTTAACGCCTTGACTGCTGCTACACCCTTATTATTGCTGGAAAAGAGACAAATTGTTCAATTTAACCCCTTGGCTGCTGGGAGCTCTTTGTTCCTAGAAATGAGGAAAATCACATCAATTTAACCCCTGGGGTGCCACTGCACCCTCGTTATCACTGGAAATGAGACAAACCATGCCAGTTTAACCCCTTGGGTGCCACTGGGCACTCATTATTGCTGGGAATGAGACAAATTGCGTCAATTTAACCCCTTGACTGCTGGGAGCTCATTATTCCTGGAAATGAGGAAAATCACATCAATTTAACCCCTGGGGTGCCGCAACACCCTCATTATCGCTGGGAAAGAGACAAATTGTCAAATTTAACCCCCTTGGGTGCCACTTGGAGCTCATTACCGCAGGAAATGATACAAGTTATCTGATTTAACCCCTTGACTGCCGCTACGTGCTCGTTATTGCTGGAAAAGAGACAAATTGTCAAATTTAACCCCTTGGGTGCCGTTACACCCTCGTTATTGCTGGAAAAAAGACAAATTATGCCAATTTAACCCCTTGGCTGTCACTGAGCACTCTTTATCGCTGGAAATGAGACAAATTGTGTCAATTTAACCCCTTGGGTGCCGCTGGGCACAGAGGAGGAGGGTTTGTTTGTGCATTCCCAAAGTTTCCTTCGAAAGGAAAGGATTTTTCCAATCTCAGTGAGGATTTCCATTTTTTCTATTTTTATTTGAGGTAAATAAATATAAATAAATTTTAAAAAAATCCATTCGTTTCTTTTTTAGAGCGGAACAGATGAAAAATTGCAGATTTTTTTTCCTCTTCTCCTCTCCTCCACCCCATAAAAAAATCCCCGCTCAACCCAACGTCAGATCTGCTTAATCTCAGCTCAAACCTCCCATTTTATATTAAAAATCTCCCCAAATTTTTAATTTTTAATTTTTAATTATTTTTTTAAATTAGGAGGAGGAGGATCCTGGCGGATTTGCTGGAACGTTGCTCGTTATTGCAGCGGAAATTTTGCGCCGTCTCTTCCACCCCCTAAAAACAACCCAAAATTTTTAATTTTTAATTTTTCATTTTTAATTTTTAATTTTTAATTATTTTTTTTCATTTTTCCAGTTTGACCAGTGGACGGACGGGCAAAGGAGGAGGATCCTGGCAGATTTGCTGGAATGCTGCTCGTTGTCACAACGGAAATTTTGCACTGTCTTTTCCACCCCAGCTCCAACCTCCCATTTTATATTAAAAATCTCCTGAAATTTTTAATTTTTAATTTTTCTTTTTTCATTTTCCCAGTTTGACCAGTGGACGGACAGGCAGAGGAGGAGGATCCTGGTGGATTCCACCCCCTAAAAAATCCCCGCTCAACCCAACATCGGATCCGCTTAATCCCGGCTCAAACCGCCCATTTTAAATTAAAATTCTCCTGAAATTTTTAATTTTTAATGGTTTTTTTTTCATTTTCCCAGTTTGACCAGTGGACGGACGGGCAGAGGAGGAGGATCCTGGCGGATTTGCTGGAACGCTGCTCGTTATTGCAGTGGAAATTTTGCACCATCTCCTCCACCCCCTAAAAATATCCCGAAATCTTTAATTTTTAATTTTTAATTTTTTTTTCATTTTTCCAGTTTGACCAGTGGACGGACGGGCAGAGGAGGAGGATCCTGGCAGATTCCACCCCCTAAAATATCCCAGCTCCACCCGACCTCGGATCCGTTTAATCCCGGCTCAAACCTCCCATTTTATATTAAAAATCTCCCGAAATTTTTAATTTTTAATTTTTATTTTTTGTGTTTCCAGTTTGCCCAGTGGAGGAAAGGGCAGAGGAGGAGGATCCTGGCGGATTCCACCCCCTAAAAAATCCCCGCTCAACCCAACATTGGATCCGCTTAATCCCAGCTCCAACTTCCCATTTTATATTAAAAATCTCCTGAAATTTTAATTTTTAATTATATTTTGTGTTTCCAGTTTGACCAGTGGACGGACAGGCAGAGGAGGAAGATCCTGATGGATTCCACCCCCTAAAAAATCCCCGCTCAATCTGACATGGGATATGTTTAATCCCAGCTCAAACCTCCCATTTTAAATTAAAAATCTCCCTAAATTTTAAATTTTTAATTTTTAATTTATTTTTTTTCCAGTTTGACCAGTGGACAGATGGCCAGAGGAGGAGGATCCTGGCGGATTTGCTGGAACGCTGCTCGTTATCGCAGCGGAAATTTTGCGCCGAGCGGCTGCGAATTCCGGGCGGGGCCGTGGATTTCACCACCAGGATCCCCCGGGTTTTGTCTTTGTACATTTTCTCCTTCCTGGACCCGCGGAGTCTCTGCAGATGCGCGCAGGTTAAAAAAA